GGGCGTCCGGGCCGGTTTCGCCTCGCCAGTTCGGTTCGACGCGGCCGGTCCGGTTCTGACCGGTTCGGTTTGGAGTCCGGTTCGCGCTGTTCGGTTCGTTCGGCCGCCGGTTCCCGGTTACCAGTTCGGTTCATACCCTTCCTGCAGACCTGGATGATGCCAGTGCCATCGCACTGCGACTGGGGCGCACGGACCCTGGCATGCCGCGCGGCCGCGTGGGCCTTGGAGGGGCGAGGGACGACAGGTCAGGGATCGCAGATTCTTCTCCTGGTCTGCAGAGGGATTTGCATGCCTCGGCTAGCATCGTCTTTCCCGCGGCTGAGCCAATCGCGCCAGAACGTCGTGCTCCCATGCCTCGGTGGTTCTGGCGAGCCTGTCGCACTGTATGGCGGCTATCCCTAGCCAGGGTCTGAGCTGGGACGTAGGGGCGAACGCAGAACTCACTGCTGCCCGTCCCCCCACCCCCGGAGGCCCATCATGCCAAAGCCGCCCTCGCTTGTCGCCGTCCTCGTCCTCGCCCTCGTCGCCAGCGTGCTCGCCGTCGTTGTCGTCGTCCTCGTCCTCCTCGCCCCCGTCGCCGCCGACGCCTCCGCCGTCGTCGTCGTCGTCCTTTTCGTTGTCGCCGCCGCCGCCGCCCTCGCCGCCGTCGCCGTCGTCGTCGTGGAGGCCCGCCGCGCGCAGAGCCCCCCGCTCGACCCCTGCCAGGAGCAGCGCGACCGCTTCGGCCGGCTGGGCCGGCGGTGAGAGTCGCGGGCGGCGAGCGGCGGGCCCAAGAAGAGCAGTCGCGCGCCGAGGGGGGGCGGGGGGGGAAGGGCCAGGCCTTCTCAGAAGCATAGCATCGCAGGCCTAGAGGTTGACACCCGCACCAATATCGGTGGTATGCCTCCACCGAGGGAAGACGATCCCGATCTCGGTGATGGTGGTGATACTCTGGCTTCCAAGGTGGCCGAACTATTACCGCCAACACCGAAATCTAGGACCATCTTCCCGCTGTGGAGGCAACCCTCTTGTGTTCGTGTTGGTGTTGGTGCCCACATCTAGGCCTCCCTCCAATAGCATACCTGATTCTTAGAAGGCGCGGGCCTTATCTATAAGAAGTGCTTCTTCAGGCGATCGCCAGTTTGCGAGAGATCTGGCGTGTGTCGTAGAAGCCAGCTGGCGATGTGGATAAGGGGGTTTTCATGAAAACGAGTGTGGTGATGATGCGCTGAGGAGGAGCAGGATGGGGATGAGGATGTGGAGAAGGACGGGGATGAGTAATTTTGCGGGTGAAAATGAGGATACACATGCGTATCAGGAATACGGTGCGGGGGGTGCAAGGGATGACGGGTAGTTAAGGCGGCGTTGGCGACGGGACATTGCAGGCGTAAGTTTTGTCGTGACGAATTTCGATTGTGCTGGGGAGGAGGCGTATGAGGAGGGATATGAAGAGAATGCGGAGCAGGACGATGCGAACCAGACGAGGAGGAGGAGGAGAATAAGGAGGGACGGGGAGACGAAGAGGACGATACCAGTGACTAGCAGAGGGAATGTGAGCTCGAGTATGCAGAAGAAGTTCGACATACTACTTTCTGCCACTCATCATCTTCATCATGAATATTGTCATCATAATCCACCGCCTTCGACACCGGCACCATGCTCATCACTGAGGAAGAAGACTAAGATGGTGTTTGGATCATTTTAACGTCGAGGCATATCCATAGCAATAGAACTAATCCAGATGATGTCAGCGTTGGTCGGGGTGGAGCTTGTTGGTCTCGATCGCCAACTCGCAAGTAGCTCTTATCATGGTCGCCCTTTCTTTCAAACTTGGAGCCTGCGAGAGAATGATCTACCCACTCTTGACTGTGACTTTGGATACACTGGTCCAGCAATTCGGCGCTAGCTCGAACTTGTCAGCGATGCCGCGTCGTACTGCAACGAGCTTTGAGCACTCGGCCCAGACGTGTCGAAAATAAAATCAGAGAGCATCGAAGCAGCTGCAGTCCTTATCCGTCTGGCGTCTTGTCTCCGATGACCGACACGTGTATGTAAAGCAATGTTGGTCGGCATCAGGGAGGCGTTGCGCCCATGCTCGTCCCCCCTTCTCAACACCGATGGACCATCACCATCACCATCGTCATAACCATCACCATCACCATCACCATTACCATCACCACCACCACAACCATCACCACCACCATCACCATCACCATCACCAGCATTATCACTATCACTATCACGATCACCATCATCACCACTATCAGCATCAGCATCATCAACATCATCATCATCATCATCATCATCATCATCATCATCATCATCATCCTCACTGACATCATCACCGTTATCATCAGCATCACCATCAACATGATCTTTGGCATCATCAGCACCATCATCAACATCAGCATCATCACCATCAGCATCAACATCACCATCACCATCACCATGCTCGAGAGAGCGATGCCCCACGGACATCTTTCAGCTGGAGATGGGCAAGGGCGACCCAGGCCACGCAGCGGCTTTCGCGCCGCTGGACCCCTGGACGCACATCATCAGCGACGAGACGAGGAGGAAACATGTGAAGCTCATCTGGCCACGTGTGGTGGCAGCAGCCATGCGGAAGGAAGTGAAACACCGATGGAGGGGCGTCACCGGTATCACGAGGGCGATGTGCTGCACTTTGCTGGACTTGGGCTGGACCCCGCACGGCCCGTGGCACTGGACATCGGACGACGGCGAAACTTCCGGTAGTGACGGCCCGACGGCGTTAGACGACGAGGCGGACATCAGCGACCTGAAGATGCGATCGGGAACGCCATCGAGCGCAAGCAGTGGACATGAGCGGTGAAAGTATACGCTTGAGCAGGCAGAGTTCGAGAACGGAGCCGATCTGCAGTCGGCGAGGGCCATGCTGCGGAAGTTCAAGCAGAAAGGCAAGCACAGCTTCGTGGTTGCGTATCTTGCCATCATGACGGGCGGTGTTTGGCCGAGGCCTTTGGGGATCGAGATCGACGACGTCTTGTGCCCCAGGTGCGGAGAGGAGCCAGAGTCGTGGAAGCGCAGGATGTGGGCGTGCACGTGCAACGGGCTGATCGAGGGCCTGCTGGCGAGGGCGATGAGCTGGACGCAGGTGACGCTGCCACTTGGCAGAAGAGCTTCTGGAGCTGATCGGCGATTTCGGTGACATGAGTAGTGTTGGCTGGCTCGGCGCGGCCAGCGACGCGCTGGGAGGAGAGCGTACAGAACACGTGCGGCTTCGACGAGTAGCCTGGGGCCGGGTGGTGATGCAGACCGAGCGGACCGGTGTTTGTGGCATGTGGCCGTGGTGGTTTAGCATGAGTTGATGGCCCCGAAGGAGTTGCTGGTCAGCGCGAGTGACTACCAGAGGACCAAGTACATCGCCGAGTCCAGCTACGTGATGCGGGGCGTTGTGCGTGCAGAGAAAACGCCAACGACTCACAAGGACGTCTGGAAGGAAGTCAATCCAGTGGTCGATGGCAAGCAGCTGGTCCTGGTCAAGGTCGAGAGCCACATGTACGAGGCGGAAGCGCTGCAGGCTGGCGTGGACATGGACGACGAGGGCATTATCGAGCAGGTGGAGGTGCTGTGGGGTGCGGCTCGTGCTGTAGGTAAGCCCGAGGGCATTGCGTCGCAGATCAGGGTGGGACCGCTGGCGACCTTCATGGCAGCAGTGGGGGAGGAGACATCGCAGACCCCATCCCGTGAGGCGCGGGAGCGGGGTGAGATCGAGCAGAAGCGCGTGCAGAAGCTGCTGGCGGAGACCAGACATGACGTGGAGGAACAAGAAACACTACAAGTGTGCGCTTTGTGGTTTGAAGCTGCCGACTGCGTGTTCGGAGGCGTGGTTGGCTGGAGAATGCGTCGCAGTGGCACCGACGAAGGTTTTTCCGCTAGGCGCCTTGCAGGCAGAGTCGGCGCAGATCGGCAACCTCAGTGCGCACCCCTCATGCGCGCTGCAGGTGCACCACTGCGCGTCGTGCTGCGCATTCGCCCGAGTGACGATGAGGGACCCTGCAGAGAAGTGCGAGGAAACCATCAAGCAGGCTGGCAAGAAGAACCCGGAGAGGACCAAAAAGGTTCTCATGCCAGGAGGCTCGGCGTACGCGACGCAGTACAATGCTGTCAGGAACGGGAGTGGAACGCGAGGTGCTCGGCCGTGCTGTTTGTGAGCTGGATCGCCCCTACCGGGCCGAGCCTCGGCCGTGGCATCCGTAGGAGTTCTGCCACAAAACGCAGTCATCATCAGCCACCATCAGCATCATCGACGGGCCGTCGACATCCTCATCCTCCTCATCGCCCTCACCGACGCTTCGAGCTCCTCGGGTCCCAGAAAGGCGGGGCTCACCCGCCACAGGCGCGCTCTGGCCATTTGCGGCCTCTGGGCATGTCCCCGCCATTCTACCCCCGACCCCCCCTGCCGTGGCGACCCCGAGGCGGGGATAACCTATATCTCCAGATCTCACTCAGATCTCAGTTTTGTTCCTCCCTTTCGGTTTCCGGCGGGGCCCGTTATCGGGCCCCGGAGCCGTCAAACCTGGATCCGGGTTGAGCAACTATCTTTGGACAAAAGGGGTCGGGACTCTCGCTTCCGTGACTCCGAAGCCGGGATTGGCCCATATCATGCCGTCGGGGATCCGGGGAAGAAGGACGAGGATACGAGCGAGGCGAGTGGCCGACGTACGTCCAGAAGGACGGCCCCACGAGAGCACGGCCGTTGGGCCAGAGCCTGGGGTACCCTTTGAATCATTGATCCTTGTGAGATTCGTGAGCGGAAGGATTGCGTATCATTGGCGACGGCCATACGGCTACACGGCCATACGGCGACGACGGAGGCTAGACGGTTATAAGGCTATACGGTTATAAGACTATACAGATATACGGCTGTAGCGACGGCGACGGTAACGGCGACGGTGGCGGCGACGACGACTGACGCGTCGGACCTCTAGGGGTGCCTGCTGCGAGGAAACAGTCACGGCGACGGTGGTTTGAACCGCATGTCCCCGATAGTCAAGCCTACCGCCCCACCAATGAGTTGATGATCTCGCCAGGACAGCTATTGTCCGCGTTGGGCCGACAGGGTGCCGAAATTCAATTCCACCAGAAGAAGTACCAATCGTATATATATATATATATATGTACATATCCGAGTGAAGGGCCCGAACGCTCATTCATTGTCGTTTGGTGCGGGGCTGAAGTGGGGATATGTGGTGAAGAATTCTGCTTCTTGCATTGTTGTTGTTATTGTTGTTATTGTTGTAATTGTTGTTGTTGCTGTTGTTGTTGTTGTTGTTGTTGTTGTTGTTGTTGTTGTTGTTGTTGTTGTTGCTGTTGTTGTTGTTGTTATTGTTGTTGTTGTTGTTGTTGTTCTTGTTGAGTTTGCATTTCTGAAGAATAATTATTGTTGATCCCCCCCACCGGTGCACACTGTTTTTTCTAAATCAAAGTGTGCCCCTCGACGCTCGCACCTTGGTTTTTGACAGGGAAAGTCCTGCTCAAACTGGGCCCCTGGCCCCCAGGTTACAACAACAACGGCTCTCGCCTGAGATTTCCTTACAACTTAGCCAGGATCCCCGCTCCCGCCCGAGACTTCATCGCATTTTATTCAGGAATCGCGCTCTCGCTTGGGACTTCCTTACAATTTATTCAGGAATCGCTCTCCCGGCGCTCTGGAGTCGCGCTCTCGCTGGAGATTTGCTTGCAACTTACTGAAGAGTGGCCTTGCGTTGGAATTTCTTTCAATTTGCCCAAGCGCCGCGCTCCCGACACCCAGGCACCCAGGAGTCGCGCCCGTTGT